AAAACAAAGGCAACAGAGCTACGTTCGTTTACCTTGGGGGCCCACATTCAGTTTATTTTCAGTTCATTTCAGTTTATTTGGTAAGGATAATAGGCAAAGCCTTTGAAAACCCTATTGCTTACATGTCAGCTCGTTAGAAATAACTGCACACGAACAAAACATATTCACCATTAAAACGGTACTTGATTCATTTGAGTAGCATTGCCTCAGAGAAAATATTTGTGGGGACATGTGGTCTTAGTTCAGATTCAGACTGTCGAGGGGAAACAGGGGACACAAATAATCATCCAAGCGTTTCTTGAAGAGTTGCAGAGACGTAGCCTCCACGACTGACTGAGGGAGATCGTTCCATTTCTCCACTGCCCTCTGCGTAAAAAATTCAGAAAGAAGATTCAGCCTGGACATTGTTGTCCGTAACTTCATCGAGTGACCACGAAGATTGGGTGAAAGGTGCACTGAAACATGTCCTCAAATTTAATTCCATGCTCAAGGCCATGTATTATCTTGTAGACGAGGATAAGATCACCTCTTTGTTGCCTGTAACATAGAGGGAATAAATTAAGGTAATTCAGTCTGTCTGTGTAGGAGTGGCCTTTTAGACCGTTAACCAGCATTGTTGCACGCCGTTGTACTCGTTCGAGGCATGCCTGGTTCTTTACTAGCCATGGCCGCCATGCTTGTATGCCATATTCTAGGTGGGGCCGAACAAATGTGCCGTAAACACTCCCAAAAAGGTCTTGGTCAAAGTTGACGAAAGCAATTTTGATTGCATGCAGAACTCCCATGGCGTTTTTTGCAGTTTTGTGGCACTGCAGTGTTGGTTTCAGGTTGTTCTGTATCAAAACCCCGAGATCCTTCTGTGAAGATTCTGCGGGGAGCCTTATATCTTTCAGGTTATATGTCCTCAGGCACTCATTTGAATGAGAGTTGGTTGGACGCAGATGAAGGACGGCACACTTCTCCACCTTGAAATCTAGAAGCCATTTCTTCGACCAAGCTTGCAGTCGGAGCAGATTATCTTGAAGAGATCTCTGATCATTCGGTCCCTTAATGACTTTCCAGAGCTTACCATCGTCTGCAAACATTATTTTGCCGCAGTCAAGTTCCTGAAGGCTGTCGTTAACGTAAAGGATGAAGAGCAATGGTCCCAGAACTGAGCATTGTGGCACACCACAGGTCACATTCAACCTTTCTGACATATCATCCCCGATACAGACACGTTGTTTCCGACCAACCAGAAACGCCCTAATCCAGTTCAGAAGATCTCCCTGGATGCCGATGTCGCTCAATTTGTGAAGAAGACGTCGGTGTGGGACAGTGTCAAAAGCTTTGCGGAAATCGATGTACACGACATCGACCTCAAAACCCTCTTCTAGAGCTCTGGTCAAGATTTCCAGACAAGCTAGCAGATTTGAGAGGCAGGAACATCCTCTCGGGAAGCCAAGTTGAAAATCCTGCACGATGTTATTTTCTTCACAAAATTGCTGTATAGCGCACTTTACTATAACTTGCATCGTTTTGCAAGGGAGGCAAGTTAAGCTAATAGGTCGAAAGCTGCTTGCTGTCATTCTGCTATCTCCCTTATGCAATGGAACGAGATTAGCTGTCTTCAACTGTGAGGGCAGCCTTCCTGTTCTCATTGACAGTTCAAAGCGAGTCGAAAGAGGCTTTGACAGCTCCGTTGATAGCTCCTTAAGTATTTGTCGGGGAATTCCGTCAGGTCCAGGAGACTTATCAGGTTTTATTTGACTGAGGACGCGTCTGACTTCTTCGACGGAAAAGGCGACGGTTTCAATGGCGACAATATCTTTGCGCATTTGAAGCTCCCGTCTGTCTCGGCCCATTTCAAACTGCTGATTGTCTTCTAGGGACTCCTCCGTAAAAACCGATTGAAAAAAACTGAGACATTAATCGCACTTTCTGTAGCCCTTCAACTAATAGGTTTCCGAGGCTATCCTTTAATCACGCAATTTCGTCCCTATGTTTCCTCCTACTGCGGATGTACCCCGTAAAACTTCTTGGGACATGTAATGGATTCTGCTATCAGTCGACACTCGAAAGAAGTTCTAGCAACCCGTATTTCTTTGCGGCATTTATTGCGCTGATCCTTATATTCCGAGAATGACCTTGGATCTCGAAGTTACAAATACTTTTTCCAGAGTCTCTGTTTCTTCTTCATGGTCTTTTTGTCGTCGGATTGACCCACGGCGGTCGCATACATGATCTTGTCATTTTTATTGGACAATGGGAATCAATCAGACGCTCTATAATCCAGCGAAAGTACTGCCAGAATTATTCTGAATATTCTGTGTTGACCAACCAGGTTTCTCCCAAAAGAGTGCGTCTCACTGCGTTAAAGTCACCCTTCCAAATATGTCTGCGTGTCTTGATTTTTGGTTGTTGGTTGGATAGGAGAGAGCACACGCAGGTAAAAGCAATATGATCGCTAAAACCGAGTGGAGGTTGTGGATTAAATTCCTTTATGAGTCCTTCTTCTTTACTGAAAACGAGATCTAAACAGTTAGATCGTTGTCCTTCTCTCATTCTTGTTTCCAATTTTATGTGTTGAATGAGGTATTCATTCAGGGAGAGTTGTAGCAGCTTGTGGTCAAATGACGTGGACGTTGCGTTGGCTAAGGGAATTTTCCCGTCTACTCCTGCAGAGCGTTAAAGTCACCCAGAAGTAGTAAGTTCTCCTGCTTACATAACATCTCCAGTGCACTAAGTAATTCCATATCGGCGATTTCATTCGAGCTGGGAGGCCGATAGGCAACACACAGGTTCAGTGTCGGTAATTTTTTGACGCATATCTTGCATGCAATTATTTCAAAATTTCGGGGCGCACCATCGGATATTTCTCGTTGACAGCACGCAATTTCATTTGACCCATAAATCGCTGTGCCTCCTCCTCTACGCTGACATCTGTCACAACGGAACTGTTGGTAGCCTTCAATACCGGCTTCGATACTACTGATTTCCTCAGTCAAACATGTCTCTGTTCGGACAATTATGTGTCGCTTCTGTTCAGAGACTAGTAATCTGAGTTCATCTAGCTTGTTGAGAAGACTCTGACAGTTAGTGTAATAGATTGCTAGACAACGGCCAATGGTGCGCGCAGCCTCAGGAGTTGACAACTCTGCATCGGTTAGGCTGTCAGAATGACGGTCTTCGGCCAGAGAAATGTCCTGTTGACCAGGATTATTTGTCCGTTCTTGATTTGTAGGTGTGTTTCGCCGCTGCTTTACCGCTTTTCCAGCTGCGTCGTCAGCTGTCTCATTTTCATTCGCTTTTTTGGCTCGTAATCCGGCTGAAAAATACTTCAGGATGCTGACCCCGCAGAGATGATTTTCTCTGTAACAAGAGCTGGGCCTGGGCTTCAGTCTCCAAAATGACCTTTAGGGGTTGACGCCGGGAATAGGAACCGGATGCTGACTGACTCTTCCCCATTCGGAATGCTTTAAGAACATTAAGTGACTCATTGTCTCTTAACAAAGCTTTCGCATACACTTGAAGAAGGTCTAGGTCATGCATAACTCTCTCATTGTGACCTTTGTACCAGCCGTTACTCTGTCCTCTAGTTCTACTGTAAACGCGCCACGACTGCGCTCGCTAACCCCCGATTTGCGCTCCCGTCCACGCCACACTCCTGGTCGATAATTTGCCTTTACTCTCACGTGCTCTCGAAGCCCATCAATGTGATCTTTTTCGCTAATTGGCTACAAGTGCACACACGGGACGCCGCCCTTGCGGACGTGATTTACAACAGACAGAACAGAGGCGACAAGGAAACAACAACTTTTTGTTGGTAGCGGCACACTAAAGGCTCCGCAACTGACGCTCTCCAGAACGAACGCTTGCCTCTGCCACAGACATACATCCAATTTACGGCGACCTGCCCTGTGTACAGAATAAACCCGTTCTCACAACTTCCTGGCTTCTGTCACTAGACGGAGCAAAATTATTGTATGTGGTTTAAGTTGATCTCACGTCTTTAATCACTACATCTGCTATGGGGTTCCAGATGGAGCATCTTGACGGAGATGCCAATGCAGGCCGGCGGAGCCGATATTACCGTGTGCGGAGATGCACACACCTGGTTTAGTCCGCCGGTCGAGGCAGTTATCAGGTTGTGGCCGCAAGGCAGAACCTACAGTAGAAGTGCTAAATCATGAAATGTCATGAGTTAGCATATAAGGCAGAAATCCGCCCAACCTACGTTCCCCGAATTCTAACGGCAGTGAAAAACGACCGTTTTTTAAAAAAGGCATAGATAGGGTTGTAAATTAATATTCACTAACGTATAAATATCGACTTTTTTGAAAACTGCAGCTTAAGCAGGTGGCTATTTGACAGATCACATAAATATGACTAGCTATAAGGGTGCATAATGAAGGGAGGACGCATGAAATGGCGAAAGTTGGGTGCCAACAAATGGACGCTAGGCAGAGTCTACCGCTGCAAGCAAGTAAGCGACCTACTGCGACCGTCACGTGGACCCACCGCTGGACCTCCCTATATCCCTGCCAACAAACATCATACGGTCACCCGACCGATATCAGTTCTAACAGTTTAATTTTGCCATTATATTACTGTTTGTATTTTAGTAAAGCTTTTATCGATTATTGTCACAAGTCCGTTGAATGTAAATGTTGACAGTCACTTCGTCACCCTCAGACAGTTCAGATCGTACCGATATTAAACAGCACAAGGATGCACAAGCAGACTACTGTACAGCGTATTTAGTGATTGCAATGTTTTTAAAACTTCAATCGATTCGTTTATATGGTCGGTTTCGAAGAAATTTCTGTGATTGTTTGGTGTTTCCATTTTCAACTTCTTGATATAATTTGTTTCCTTGTAAGAAACAGGAAGTTCAAAGTTTCAACGCCTATGTTTCCCTCACATAACCTGATCTGAACTGACTGCCCAGTCTTTTGTGTTTACTGTATCGGCTATTAAAGAGCGCTAAAAACAAAGTGGCGTGCAGTTTGACTGGAGGGATGGATAGTGGTCCTGATGAATTACGTTGGTTTGGCGTGAAGAAACTGCTGTACTTCCGAATTCCCACAGCTTTTAGGGTTCTTAAAATACTTGAATTTACCGTACTTTAGGAAGGGCGATGCAGAAGTGTGTCGGAATTCGAAAAATTAAATAGAATTGGCGAGGGCACTTACGGCATAGTTTGTAAGACGTGTTAGTTCGCCAATTTCTTTTAGATCGAGCTCGTGATACAATCACGAATGAAGTTGTCGCACTTAAAAAAGTCCGGATGGAAAATGAGAAAGACGGTTCGTAATATCGGCCGACTAATCCTTTCTAGGAATCCCAATTAGCAGTTTGCGTGAAATAACGCTCTTATTGAGTGTGAAGCACCCTAACATTGTCCAGCTAAAGGAAGTTGTAGTTGGCCGGAGTCTTGATAGGTAATTTTGTTCGTCGGCCGTCTTTGTATTAGCGGAAGAAACCGTGGCTGCCTTTCTTAAATGCGTGTCGTCCATCGCTTTCTTCTGTTTTATTTGCTTCAGCATATTTCTTTCAATGGAATACTGCGAGCAGGACCTTGCTAGTTTGCTGGACAACATGCCGAGCGCTTTTACCGAGGCCCAGGTACTGTAATTTTCCTTATAATTAGACGACTGGTTTAGGTTAAAGGCATAATGCTGCAAGTTTTTAAAGGTCTCCGCTACCTCCATGAAAATTACATTCTTCACAGAGACCTAAAGGTCTCGAATCTACTAATGACGGATAAAGGTCTTGTTAAAATTGGTAAGTCGGATATCCTAAAAACGCTGTTACCGCACGTTTAAGCCGACTTTGGACTTGCCAGACCGTCGAACTCTCAGCATCCAATGACTCCAAAAGTTGTGACACTATGGTACGTTACATTCTTTGTTGTGTTACCCCCGCACGCCTGGTTTTATTTCCATACGTAGTCGCTTTTGTGCAAGTAGTTGTCCTTTAAGAATGAGGGCTAGAGTTACGGTTAGTTCCAACCCGTCGGGTTTATTCTAACAAAGAACACCAAATCAAGATAGGAGCAGTTGCTTATTTTTATGTTTAACGGCTGTCACCAATGCTTGTCTTGCCGGCCGCAGTGTCTACGACATCACTAACCAATGTGATCGCTCGATAGGCCCTGCCCTCGCGGTCAGGTTGGTGTCCCAGTTCCCATCTCTCGGATTTGACGTTTTTCCTACGTTTCGCGTAGAAGATCCATCCACCCTTTCAGATTCCACCAATGGGGATTGCGCAAATTTATAGTGACGTGACAGTAGCATATATGACTGCTTGATCTGCTTATTTTACGCAAAAGCCTTTCCTTATCGCCGCAGTCGACCTGACGCGGAGCCCGATATTCAATCAAATTTTCGATCCAAAGACCGCGGAATTGGCTGTTTCTAAAGTCGGCTTTCACAGCGTCCGCCCATGTCTACGTCTAGCCCTCGGCGTGTTCGCCGACTACTGCCGGACGACTTGACCTTCAGGTCGATGCAACATATAGCCAGACAATTTCATTCTGAAAGTAGGGAAGGCGTAGTTGGTAAGCCTTATTTTTGACCAGCCGCAAGGCTGCTCACTGAGGACGCAGCTGGAAAGCCAAATTGGGGGGTTGAAGAATTCATACTCCGTTATAAACTTCGAAAGTCTGGTTACCTTCGTGCGCATCCTCCCGACATCTTTATACAAGGGGTTGTCTTGGCTCTGACTCCGTTTACTCACGGCTTGGTCTCTTTACTTCATTCACGCAGAGTCCAGGAATTTCGATGAAGTCCGGTGAAGACCTCGCCCATCTCCTTGGACCAATGGTTAGCTTAATCTTGATGCTGCTCCACATGGCAGCAGATACTGCACAGTGATAAAGGTCAGCCTGAAGGTTCAGTTCCTTGCCATAGCTCGGCAGTCATTTGCATCTGTGGGACGATAATCTTCGACTTAGTGGAATTTCTCATCATGCTGACTTCGACTGCCCTCGTATGTGCGTGGGCAGCAAACACTGTGTTTCTGCATAGAGACAGCTTTGCGGCATTTCCAATTCAGTAAATGTCCCCAGTGCACGAACTACAGCTTATTATAGCCATGGGCCGGTCTACAAACCTATTACGTACTCAGGCTGAGTTCATGAGAGCACAAAGCCCTGAAAAGCTAGAGATGGGCATCAAAAGAGTCTTTTGCCTAATTTCTCGCAAAAAACTCTGATGCTTATTTTGTAGTAATGGATTTAAATTCGTTGGCTTGTTGTCATGCAGCCCGGTCACCCCCAGGACGTTTCGACAAATATAGCATCAGAAGCAGACGTAAGGTCCATCAAATAGACGAGACATTGCTGCTGATATCAGCGGCGGTATTCAAAGGTCTGAAATAAGTGTTGATTAGAACCTTTCAGCCCTGACCGGAAAGCGCACTGGTTCGTAAATTCCTGCGATTTGCGTTGCAAGCGGAGGTGATTGAGATGGGGAGATGCAGGAATTTCAGCCGCAATTTTAAATCGCCAATACCATAATATTCCGTTCTTGGTGACTTCTCGCCTTTCTCAAACGTCGGCGTAACAAGATCGGCACACCAATCCATTTGCAGGATTTCTCTTCCCTGAATTTTGGTCAGAAAACCATGTCCGTTAGCGACACACACGGTTTTATTTCCTGTTCTTCCCGTTTTCCAGTCGCGTCGGGGTTCTCGGTAGGGCTTCGACTTTATTCGTGCTCACATGTGTAGACCTCTTAAAATCAGACAGCAGCTCGGCAAAGAGACTAGTCTGTTGAACACAAAAGCTACGCAATGGGCTTTTCGTGTCTGACATTTTCCCTGTCATCTCACAGTGACTGCTTCTAATCTTCGACGCAGACCTATTTGAGGACTGACGCGCCTTAAAATCTGATGAATTGCTATTGCCATAAGCTGTAATGTGTTATGAGTTTCGGCGGTCTGTCTTCAGAGTTAGTTGCAGTCACGTGTTCTATTAACACAAATCCCTGAACGCCGCGATAACGAGCACCCCTCATGTTGCCAGTCAGTCCAATAGTGGTGTGACGTCCGCAACAGCAGCACGAAAACCTATGAGTGGAATCTCTGGCAGCACCGATGTCAGCGCATAAATGAAACTTTGTCCTGATCACGGAACAGTTGAGACACCACGCTGATCTAAGTTGCTTCTTCGATAGAGACGGGGCCTCTCCTAGCACCCGGCAATTCACCTCCACATGAGCCATTATGAAGCGAGTGCGCCACGGAAAGACGTTCGACTTCTACATTACACATGGGCAAGACGCGGCGGCAGGGAACATCCTCACAATGCGAAGCGCGATTTGCAGTCTCCTCTCTCCGGCATCTGCAGAGATTTGAATGCATCGGTTTTCACAGACGTCCAGCACTCGATATTCGTTTATACGGACTGTTTACTTGTGTCATTCACCTCACCTAGTCCCATCACCCGTTGGTTGACAGGCTTGGACGGTTGACTGGCTCATGGAAGAGAGAAGAGGGTGAGGCTGACACTGGGAGGACTCATCCTCATTAAATCTGGTTCATATGAGTCTGTCATGCCGCGCTGATTGTCGTGGCTTGTAGACTTGCCAAGTTATGAGGTAAATCGGTCCTCGGAACTGAGAGTCTGGCTTCAGTGGCTCTTTATTCTCACTCATGTGGTGTCAGAGTCGACTTTAGAGTATCCCGGTACATCTGAAGTGGGTCTCAGGCCGTTTCTGGTGCACGTATGCGTGCTGTTTAGCTTTGTCGTCCACAGTGCCCACGTGCGCCAGTCGACTTGTCGTCTTGTCATCAGTGCCGGGTGGGTTAGGCAGAGGAGAGTGTGTAGATGCTTCTCAAATCTGCCTCAGTGTAAATGAATTTACGCGCGAGTCAGTGGTAGTGCGCCCAGCTTGCTGTGGGGCACACGATGGACGTAGTTTCTGACATTCTAACCGCCGTCAGGTTCGGCCCGGTTTATGTTATCTAAGTCTCATTCTACTTTTGCACGCAAGTCCAGGCCATAAGGCAGCAGCGGCAGAAAGAATTTAATGGCGTCTCGTTACTTTACACAGCCGTCAGCAGGCTTCCCATAACTTCATGAGATAGTTGGTTATCAAGCCATACTCCTTATTTTACCAGCGCTGTCGCTACTGCTCTGCGACTGATTATCGTACACTAGTTTGGCTGGCTGGTGCCTGGTTGTCCTCGAGGGCTGCTAACAGGCAGGCCAACAGGGCGTTTCTTTCAGGACTTCCTATACGGGCAGTCGGATTCACTTAACCCTTAGACAGCAGATAAATGGGGTCCTCCCAGTCTTGCTCGTTTGAGTACTTGATATTGTCTTGGCTTTCGAAAACTGTGTTAGCAACATACACTGCTATCTGCGCGTCAGCTATTGAGGTGAATTAAACGAGATCAATGAAGTAGGAACTGTATTGGCTTGGTGTTTCGAATTGGCACTCTAGTCCATCATCAGGAGCATCAACAAATGAGTGTACTGAACGTTAAAGGTCGCATTACCAATAGGATGCAGCTGCTGCGCTACCGCATACTTGTCAGGATTAACAGCTAGCAAATTTCCCGCGGATGCTCGTGTTTCATGTGATTGGTGCCTAATCGCCCTCATCCCGAGTCCTTATTTGGCACAATTTTATCACCAGTGCTGATTATTAGCGTGTTGATGACTCGGAAATTTGACCCACTGACTGTCACCGGGGCTGTGTTCGTTCGCGCCCTCGTTTGATTAGCCCAGGCAAGATCTGAGGGCTGAAAGTGGAGGCAGGTCTTTGTATTTGTGGGGACTGGAGATCGAGGAACCATGGCCCAAGAGCCGGGAAATAAAAGCGCTTTGATCGCAAATTTTGGCTTAAGCTCGTACATCAAAAACGTCACTTAAGCCATCAGCCGCCTTTTTGCGCTAAAAAAGGTAAACATCGGGCGCCAAGCAATAAAATCGGAGGACCCGCTTTCATAGCAAGAAATGTCTTCATTCGCTTGCCAACTCTTACTTTGTTGATGGCAGGGCAAATACGTCGGAGGAACTGGAGAATTACTTCGGGTACGGATGGCCGAACACGCGGGAGCAGTGAGGAGGGGTGGCGTCAACTCTTACGTCACGGGTTACTCGTTGAGACCTGGGAGCCCTCAAGTTTGGCGCGGCCGAAGCTTTTGAGGAAGGTGACAATTGCGCGAGCCATGAGTCGTTGAGTTCATGGTTCCCCGGCCCGCAATCCGTCAACAGACACAATGATCTCCCTCAACATCCAATCATCAGACTGTCTGGATATAGTCATGCGGGTGCGCTTGGGTTACCGACGGTTTCACTGACAGAAGCAGTGAGTCAAAGTGTAGAATGATAATGCTCCAATTACCGACACTGGCGACGAATTTTTGACAGTTAGGGGTACGGACGAGGGCGATTGGGCAATCAGCCCTTCAAATGGCGTCATCTACAATGGAAATGGGGGCTTTCTAGTCTTACTAAACGCTTAATCGCATAGTAAACAGTTCCATAAATACTGCGACCCATTTGCGTCAATTGTATTTATCTTTTGCCGTCTGTGATGCTAGGTTCGGGTACGAATCAGCGAAGTCGAACTAATAAAATTCTTGTTCTAGCGATTGCGTCTGCATAACAGGCCCATGGAACTCGCCTTTCCGCCACCCGCTGTTAGGTGCCTAAGCCAAATTTAGTCTTCACGTATCTCCGAAAATTAATTATTTGGAGCACTCGCTTCATTATTAGAAACCGTGATTCATCTTGACTTTCACTCGCGCTCTAAAGCGTCGATACACACTGGTGTCCTGCTTGATGTCCACTTTGTTGTTGTTTGATAGGTACCGAGCCCCAGAGATAATACTGGGTGACAAAATGCAGACTAAGGCCATCGACATATGGTGAGACCCTATCTGTTCATCTTTATGCCTCATTTCTTTGCATTGGTGCATAAGCACACCTGTTGTGTCCTGCCGTTCACTCCCTCTTTGGTTTATATCTTCGAACCTTGGGTCCATTTGTGCAAAGTGGCAGTTTAGTTTGTGCTGACAATCACATTTTCAGTTTTGAAATCCCCCGCTTTCTTCTCCAAACTCTGACAGCTTCATTGGTCGCCCGTGCTTATGATTAATTACGACCATCATCATCAGCCCTCAACCTGGTCACACATTGAAGCCAGCAGCCAGACACTGAAGGCATAACTATGGGGTCAGGTCGCTAGTTTGACCAGTATAGATCCCATACATCCCCGTCAGACATTTGGGCTCTATTTTTCTCACCGATATATACAGTGCGTGTTGGCCAAAATTCGGAAATGCGTTTCCGATTAGGAAGGATTACCTAAGTGGGGTTGTTATACTGATTATCATGCAGCATAACCCTATAACATTTCGGACTCGCCAGGATGTCGACTTTTAAATGCACTTCATTCTGACCTGCAGAAACCACACTCGATAGAAAAAATAATTACTTATGTAGCATGCATTTTTTACTATTGATTTTCGATAGTCTTATAAATTTCAAATATATTTTACAGAAAACGTGCACACAAACTGTGCCTTCTTTTGCTCATTTGGTAGGAAATCACAAAATGTGCCTTTTTTTGCTCATTTGGTAGGAAATCACATTGTATTCATATTTTATGCCCGAAGAAAGTTTGTATTTTGATGTTGAAAAAGTTTCTTAATTCACGAATAATTTTCAGCCTGATCTTCCATTGCCTCAGCGGTTAGTAATTTCAGTCCATAAGGTGCATGCTTTCCTCGTAAGGAAAATCATATTTTCTATGCCCTTAAGAAGATACCACATAGAATTCATGAGATTTTGCAATGGATCCGGATTGTGTTGTACATTTTATGAGGAGCATTAGTAAACGGACATGTGCGGTCTTGCATGCATGGACATCGCACGGTCTTAAAAACCCCTGAAGTAGTAGGTCTTGAACAAGGACGCCAGACATCGAAATGACGGCTGTCGACAACAATGTCTCAATTCTTAAAGAATGTTTATGGATTCTGTCCGTATCTTTAGATTGTGAAGTGTGAAGGGAACTTCTAAGTGCTCGTTTAAAAATATTAACTTTTGCGGAGGATACCAAATTTATATTGCAGCGAGTGACCCTGTTTGTACCGGATTGGTATTCGCAGTTATTCTGTGGTTACTGGACTGTATTAATAAGAGAGCATCTGTTAAATGAAAGTGGCTAAACCCTAGTTAACACTACGTGCCCTATGTTTAAGGAAACCAGCTAGCTGTCTTTTAAACATTGCCTATTTACCTGTCACTTTAAGGCCTTTTGTTTGAATTCATGTTTTTTCTCCAACGCATGCATTGACTGCTACCTGTTACCTCTTCACAGTCCAATTTCTTCCACAGGTCGACCTTAACCTAACAAGGAAGATGACGGCCGCCATGTCGATGTAGGACCCGGCCAAACAAGCTTCGTTTAGTCAACTACTTATAAAAATTCTGCGACACGCGCAATGTATTTCAGCATTATTGATGCGGCAAAGGTGCTTTCCTAGTACAGGTCTTTCTAGAAAATTGCTGCTATCGGGTAGTTCGCTTTTGGTTCCGGTCCTGACATGGTAGCCCTCTTACTTTAATCGGCGCTAGAATCGTAACTCCCCCCCCCCCTTCCTCCTCATACCATAGTCCTGGGCAATCCTAGGTTCTGAAGTTTCGTATTCCACCGGCAAATGTTGGCAAGTAGGCCTGTGTAAAGCTTACAGTCTTTTAATAGTCGGTCGCCTCGTCTCTTATTCGAGTGCCCCGCCAACATGACGATTAATTCATTGTATACGTTTAATCACTGATTCGTTTTGCGTTTCTCTTCTCGAGTGCCCTCATCTTCCTTTGAACTTATGAAAATCATAGGTCGGCCGGTTGTATAATGGGAGAACTTCTTTTGCACAAGCCGTTGCTGCCCGGAAAGACTGAAATTCATCAGCTGGAACTTACAATTGATTTATTGGGAACTCCGAATGAACAAATATGGCCTGTACGTCCAATATGTGTTTTTACACTTCACATGCAATGTTCTTCGCTGTCATTAGTCTGACACTCGTCAGGAAGCTACATTTCAACTTTTGCCCATGGGCTCTGCTGCACTTCGTTTCAGGGCATGTCATCACTTCCTCTCCTGGACAAAATTACCCTGAAAAAACAGCCGTAAGTCGTCATCACTTACATTTACTCATGCTACGCCGTAATGTTCAGTTATAATCTTGCGATTTACTGCCCACCCCATTCTTTTTGCCGACTCATGTCTAGGTTGAGCTCGGGGCAGACCGTTTGTGCCAGCATACCAAGCGTTTTGGGTGGACTGGCGTCCTGTCTGGTGACATCGGGACTACCTATTCACACTAGAGTAACGCCCATCAACGTGTCCCAATAGCGGGACAGAATTGGCGAGTCCACCGTGCCCTGGAGCTCCAGTTGAGAGCTCTTAAAGGAGGGTCTCGCGACACTGCATAGACTGAGCTATGATCAGTGTCCCACTTCAGGGGCAAGAGTTTATTAGTTAGTCGTCAGATTTTAGAGGATGCTCTGGTGCTCCCATCAGTTAACCTTGGTCCACTTCTCAGCTACAAAGTTCCCACACATTGTTGATAAAATCACTCAGTGAGGGAACCTACCACTATATCAACAAGTAATCCCTTGGTTTTCCGGTGTCTGACCTTCCAGGTCCACCCCATTGGGGCTGCTATTTCAGCCCGATACTTGCTGCGGTCTTTTCTGCTTGACGTTGACCATTGGCAAGTTCTAACCTCGGAGTCTCGTCATTCTACATCTACGGACCTTCGATTTGTTATCTTCAGTAGCTCGCAAGCATCGTTACGTGGCGTGAATCGGTCGGAAGTTTCGCCCGCACCAACTTTTTGTTGAGCCCACTTCCGATAGCTGTCTTCCACAGCGTCTTGTCCTGGCTGAACGTTAGAAAATAAGACGCGAGACGGTCGGTCGACGGTGTATATTAAGAGCAAAGTGGGAGGGTACATCTTAATACATCAGGAAGGCAGGAAATCTCTAGCATGCCTACTTATATTTGCAATCTCTGTGCTTTTAATTTGCTTCGCACTTCCGATCCTTCAGCCTCACTTTCCATAACGCCCTTCTTCCTGCCTTTCTAGTTACAACAACTTACGGCATACCTTCCCGTGGCTTTCGGATGCGGGTCTGCGTCTCCTCAACTTTTTGTTTATGTACGACCCGAGCAAACGGGCTCGAGCTCGAGAATGCTGCCAAAGTTCTTACTTTCGTGAGCATCCTCTGCGTAAGTCGTCGCGTCAAGCACTTAAAACTAGATTCAAATGCCTGTTTTGCTGACAGATCGCCTCCACCGTTTTTTTGCAGCCTGCGAGCCAGATATGATGCCGTCGTTCCCACAGCATCGCCTCAAACGAAAGGCATCGCCGGGCGATGAAAATCAGCAGGCCGCCGTGCCACAATTGTCTCAGGAACCCACTTCAGGGCTCTTTGATGCAGCTTTTGACCGAATTGTAAGAGTGGACTATTCATTCTAATATTTGCCGGCAATAGTCACATGTTTATACACAGCGTTCAATAACTTCCGCCACCACCTTCCACCCTGTAGTTCAGGTTTTTTATGCTCTGACAATCTCGTTTTAACAGCCACAAGTTAATGGTGGCCGTCACATCTAACCTTATCCATGACGGGCGCCTTCCGTACGCTACTTATTCTGGTGGGAAGTTTGCCCAGTTACAGATCTCACTAGTCGTACACCAGTTTTCGAGGCGGTGAAACCTGTTGCAGCAATATGCTAGCAATAGGGTCCTTTCACTGAATTCGGGGCGTCGCAAACTTTGTAGACTTAAAAATGCATTATTTCGGTTTCTCCGCCCTCCTTTGACTGACGGGCGCCAGCAGTGCGAGCGCTGTTACATGGATGTAGGCTCTGTAGTTCTGTTATGCAAAATTACTTTCTAATGTCACGCTCAGTGAAACTGTTTGCCTGTTTCTGCTAGTACTCCCAATTGCATGACACTCGACTTATCGCTACATACCTGCATATCATCGTTTGTGGTGTTAAATTGCTTTTTTTTATTTTAGGTTAAGAAGAGGCGTGTATAGTCACGAAAACTTCATTTTAAATAAATATTTTCAATGCATACATGCCCTCTGTCCTACTTTGTTCCTACCAGACGGCCCTGCCTATCGTGGTGTTTCTAGTACCAGTCATTGTGGTGCCCCAAGTTAAAAATATAATACTTGCTCGCTGGCTGTATCGCGGTATGTCAGAGGTAATTGGATATGCCCCTACTATGTCAAATTTCTTTGCAAACGGTATTCAGCCATGTAGTACACATAAGAAAAGGGTTAAGCGTCTATCTTTATAGTGGAATTTATAAAGTTCTTCAAATTTGACGGAGGCGGTTTACTGCAAAGACAAGCTCAGCTTAGGGAATACTGCAAAGATATAACCTTCATTGATCTGAGACCGTGGATTGCTGTTTGACACCGGGTCCACCAAACCAATCTGCCGGCCCTATTTATAGACTCCTGTGCTTTCATTGCGAAAGGGACGTGGCGTCCCGACCAAGTCATGAGTGGTTTTTGGGCCTGCTATGGAAAATCACGTAGATCGGAATCCGGTAAGGATAGGAAATCTGATAAATCCTTTTAGCTGAGCTACATGGGTGTGTTGATCTACTTTTTACTCGCGAAGCAAAACTGACGATGGGGCTGTCTTGCATGAAAAGTAATTCAGGAGTTGTAGACAAATGTCACTAGTGTATACTGCTATAATGCGTGTTGAGCCAGATTTAGCTCAACAGCTCCGGCTCTCACCTTTCGCCAAGCATAGCCAGGAGTCCGAAATGAGCTTATATACTTGACACCATGCAAACATGTCCCACCAGGACGATATTCGGCGACTGGAGATCAGGTCTGACGACACGATCTGTCGATGTGTGAACGTACTTGGCCCCGATCAAGTTCGGAACGGTGGTTTGCCAATGGTACCTCCGCGTTAGGGACGAGTGGGCCCATCAGGTTAGCGATGGCCGGATGGGCACACTACCGAACCTGTCCAGACCGGCTCGACTGCTCCGAAATCGCGGTGTTCTTGAACGGGAAGGTAGCGGGTGGGCAAGTGAAGGTGTCGGATGATGCATCTAAGTGGACTTTGAACTCCCGTTTTGCAACAGTCGGAATCGTACGAAACAAGGAGCTATCGTTAGTGGATTATGGACGGTGACCGACCGGTGATAACAGCGTGAAGTCGCGGGAGGTATGTGCTGTGTTAGGCTCACGTATACTTGATTTTACAGCGAAAGTGGGTTTCAAGCATTTACCCATACTATAGGAGAGGGATTTAAACGAGTAAATGTACTGGAAAGGGCATGAGGGTTCGCGGTGAATCGTGGTCGAATAGGCACCAGGGACATGTCCGCTCGGGTTGAGCTGTAGGCAGCTTGAATGGCGTCTTCTATCGAGCAAAGTTACACCAACTGACGGTTTAGAGCTCAACCAAGAGAACCCAAGCCAGGATATCAAAAAGCGAAAGATTCTACCACAGAATTAGTATCCAAGCTGCAAGCCAACTGGCGTTCAATTACTGACTGGGCAGCTGTCTGGAACTCCTGCTGGGGCATTTTGACTTTGTTTGATGAGAATCGTTGTTCCTTCGTTATTGTTTTATCGACGTTGAGGTCCACGGGGTTGGTCGAGTCATTCTGGCACTCCTTGAGGGTTGCGCGTACTTTGAACTTTCCCTCATGTTTATTTTCAGTCCTGGCTTTTGCTATCCTTATCTCACTTCCTACACCCTTTCGATAGTTTATCCAACTTTTGGTGACTTGAACAGTCGAGCCCCGTCCTCTGTATTCCATATCTAGACCCCCTCTTTAAATTTGAATTTACACTCGTGTAACACCCCCTCATATCCTCAAAGCAAAATGGCTCTCTCGCGGAATATGCGGACTTCTTCACGAGCTGCAAGTCCAGAACCTTCTGTCCCTAACAGTCATGGGTCCACTAAATGTAAAAGAGTACCTTTTTCGATGTATATAAACTATATTGGAGATGGTAAATTATAACCGGCGTAAGTTCCTGTCATTAAGGAGTGTTGCGGCGTTGTCATCTCGAGTGGCTGGAATTCCTGCATTTCCGCAGCAATCTTTTGTTGATTTAATTTTGACAGATCATTCCCCTGAGTCCAATGACGCCCAATAAAGACGCTGAATATGAGAATTACAGTGCAGCCGATCGTAATCAGGAGAATTGCAAAGGGGAGAAAGAGGTCCTTATTCGTATAGTCATATACGTACGGACGTCCAAAAAAGAGCAGGAATACGCCTAACACTAGCACACCAAATCCGAAAGTAAATGCCGCATAATTTCTTTTCATGATCACGAACTCCGAGTCCATTGCCTTTACTAAATACGAAGTGGATTTGCTTCCCCTTTGTAAAGGATAATGTAGATGACGGAAATGCAAAGCTTCGTTTATCCTAGTTCAGTTTCATGCGATATAATTTTATCTAACCGTTCAATTATTACTAGTAAGAATAGGCATACCTCTGGCGAGTATCTACGCTCTTGAGCTTCAGATAGCCGACGGACGATTTCGCAAATGTTCTATTCCAGTATGTAAATCGTGGTGAGTATTTCATAAAATCGGCGTGCGGTTGCACTAGTCGATAAAATGGGTTGCTGTGAAGTTTGTTTTATTGTTGTCCTCAAGTAGTCACTTATGTATCGGGTATGCGGTCACAGTCCTCATCCGGAAAACGTTCGGAAGGTGCGGTGTTTTCATAGGTCGGTAGAACTCTTAACTAACAACAGGTTCAAGGTTGTTTCCGAATTTCAATTTCCCTACTGGATTATGTGTTCGCAGATGCCTAGGCCAGTCATGACAGCTTTGGGGACTCCTGGCCAGTGCTGAACTTAGTCAAAGTCGGCAGGATAGAAGACCGCACAGTGAGCAGTGGCCAGTCAATTTATTCCATTGAAGGTAGGCAGTGAGTTGATAAAAGGCAAAATTTACCCGAAGTTAGGGAGATAATCAAAGGAGATCTTGTATAAAGATCTACAAAAGAGGGTTATCGATGTAATGTATGCCTGTCCTGTGGTACTGAGAGCATTTTTTGCCGCAAAGCTGACATTAAGTTTTTAAAAATACTGTTTAACTTATGAAGAGTCATACACCAATCCCACTTGACTTTCGGAGAAGGCGACACTATCGCTGGAACAAGAATTGCATTGGCCTGACGTTTCGGATTCTGGCACAAATTCACCACCATAAACAGAGTCGGGTATGGGTGGTAAATTGCCCAAGTGTTGTGGCATTTATAGGATAAATTGCTGGGCCGCTACATGACTATTGCCGTTGGCATCTCACGAGCGCATCACGATTCGACTGGTCTGATTTTGAAGCATGCCACTGCCGCATAGTTGCTTTGCATAGCAACTGCATGATGGCTCTTGACGCACCGTCGTCACGGACTCCGATCACACATGCAACAGGGGAGCCGCATGGATGGGGAGTCGAGACACACACGTTTCACTTGCGTGGGAGGTGACAGTTGGGTGTATGCGATAGGTGATTTTGATGGGCGGCGGGATGCTGGTGAGGGAGGATGTGGTGGTGATGCAGCTGGCGGTTGTCTACCGCAGGTTATTGTGGACGCGCATGTGGCCTAATAGACCCAAGCGATAAATAAATGTGCGAATGCAATGTGGACGGTGGAGGAGGATGTGGCGAGTGTAGGTTGGTGCTCCAGGCAATGGTTCGCCAGTCTCTGTACGATGGATTGGTAAGTGACGGACCATGCCGATGTGTGAGGTGAATGTGCGGTCGCAATGTGGACAGTTATAGACGAGGCCCTCATCACTGGTTTTGACGGTGGTAGTGTTGGTGTGTCAGAATTGTGTGTAGTGTTGATGGGCATGGCAGACGCTACAACATCACATGCTAGACCACCGGATGAGGAGCAGGAGGAGAGGAATGGAACGTGTGACTGGGGAAGGCGGCGAACGTCAGTTGAAGACGTGGGAGACGAGGTCGAGTTGGGCGGAGAGGCAACGAATGGGGCAGTCCGAATTCTGTAGTTGGTGCACAGGTCCCCAGCAAGTGCGTTTGGCGTCCAGACTGTCAGATGACACCATGGACACGTTGCCGGTGGTTGAGCGCTAGCATTGTGAGGCGACGGCGGTAGTTCAGATTTGCGTGTCCCGTGTTGGCCTTGGCGGTGGTGATGTGGTCGGCTATGAAGATTGCAGCGCCAGTCAGTAATATGCAGTAGACGCTTGGTGACCGTGGCTTTGGAGGGATACATGTGTTTTAAAGAGTTACAGCTACGTGCTGCAAATGCTGTCCACGATTTTTACGTGCAAGCAGCGCCTGACGGCTATGAATCTCTTTACTTTTAAAATTTAATGTGCCCAAATGCGTGGCCCTAAACCTAACCACCGGCCGAAATGCCTCTCCAAAACTAAGTTCACGAGACGGAATTACAAGCTTTAGGAAGACACAGAGATACATTAATAAGTAAAATAGTTTTTTACGACGTTTTGGTGTCCCGCCATAGCAAGTAACAATAATTTTCATGTAAATTCTAGAACAGGTGTACAGAATCTCCAGTGTATTCAGTTCATAAACTTTGAATAAGCAGCTTGGTCAGAAAAATGATTATCGAGCGGTTCAAAATACTCCTTTACGTGATAAACAAAATGAATGTAATTGAATTAACTTTACAGAAGAAAAAATGTTGCTCATTAAAGGGTGAGAGTGAGGCGGAACCGACCCACATGCGGTCGTGTATAGGGGATTCGAAACGGACATCGTCAAGGTAGAACTTATACACCACATAAAGCTATGCGCGTCAAAGTGGCAAGACAAAAGGAACCCACACACGATCGGGCACGGTCAGCTTCGAGCCCAGTCGAGGAGGAGGCAGGGTGGATACAAACATGGAGTCTCTTTGCAGGCCGGCAAATATACTTATGGATGACGAATACAGAGGGTTCCGCCGTAAGCGTCGGCTGACCGCTTGAGATAGAGATGAGGAGATGACGTCAAGAACCGCGAACATCGTCGCTGTGGGGAGGAGTGATAGCAGTGGATTTAGTACTCTTTTCAAAACAGGGGGTCGTAACATATAAGCGAGGTTTTACAGTTTATATACCACTAAATCCAAAGAGGACCCTCTTCTACATCAAGAAGCTGAGTGTTCGGGAATGAGAAGGGTTCAAAGTGCCTTTATACTTTCCGGAAACAGGCTCTGGCGTTTTATCGATTTGAATGTCGATAACTTGGGCGATGACCTAAGTTGCGGTGGAAGATTGTTCCAAAGGAGGACACGTTTCGAAACAAAATAAGAGGGAATAAATAGATGCAGTGAAAAGTGGCGACGAACTCACCATGAAGGAGTTGCGCATGGCATAAGACTGAGTTCTCGGGGTGAGAGTGCCAGTGAGCGGAAGATTGGAGCTAGGATTAACGCGCAAAAGGAAGCAACGGCCAGCTTCGAGTCTTCTAACCCACAAAATTTTACTAGGAAATGATTAGATTAGGAAAGGCAAAATTGCAAGTTTCGCAGTGCCTTTCGGGCAAAATCCGTGCTGACTGGAGCTCATAAGCCGATTAACTAGACAGAAGTGAAGAATTTCATTAAAAATTATCCTTTCAATAAGTTTTGCCAGATGCGATGTTTTGTGCACACCATGATAGTTATTAACATTGGACAAAGGTTCAGACTTGAAGACAGGAATAATAGGTCGCGTCGTCCATGTGTCCAGGAGGAGTCCTTTCTAAATATAGACCGATAATAAATGACTAAGTAGTATGGGAAACTTGGACGCCTGTTGAATAATCGAATTTGGAATCCCGTCCGATAACGAGCAGTGTGGGTTTTCTTAGCGACTTATGTGTTTCTTAATAAGATCTGAGGGGACATAAATTGTACTTAATGTTCTATCTGAAAGCGAACGAAAGAAGGGGGCTGGTTCAGACTCAATAGTAAGGTAGGTTGATAAGAAAGCACTAAACAACTGAGCCTTGTCAGTCTCATCGAGAGGAAGGATTTTATTGCCGTTTAGCAAGGATGGAATTTCGCGACCAGGCTTGGAGGATGGCCGATGACGGAAGATGTTAACGACGGATTTGGCAGGGTTCGGATCAATGAGAACATATGATTCTCTTAGCCTTCCGTGTATTTGACGCATTCTTAAGGTCATTTCGAAAGTCTTTGTGATTCTAAGATGAAGGGATAAAAACCTAGTGGACAGGTTCCGAAGCTGTCGTCCCAGCTTTTTAAGTCTGTTACGATGAAAATGTTCAGCAAGGGAATCCGAAGCATTATACTTGGGATATCTATGAGGCACAAACCGTGTTATGCATCATCACTGGCTGGAGAGTTTGGGGAATTGTAGATACACCCAATAATTGTCTTTCTTTGAGGCGAGAGAATAGTAGATGCAAAACAGAAGTCTTCCGTGAATAAGGAGTCATCTTGGTAATATGGGGATGGCGTTACGTAGAATCTAAAATAAAAAAGACAACCGCCTCCACGCCTATGTGTGCGGTCTTGAAGGTAAAAATCAAAGTCATCAATAAAAAGGGAAATAATCATGAATTAGATTATGTGTGTAAGATTCTGTTATAAATATAATATCAGGCGTCATTTCGACAGCAATGGCTCTGATTTGGGCCATATTGTTCATAACAGACCTGACATTCAGTAGCATAATATCTAATGTGATTCATAAAGCAGGATTATTGTCGACGGTATATAGAAAAATTTGGAGGCGGATATGTTAGCTGTGAATTAATTATGCTTGGGGAATAAGTGCCAATTAGTCTAAGTTTATTGACGTACGGGGAGTCAGTAAGAGAAGGCCGGGCATGAGGCCTAAAGGATGTGGGATATAGTTTTTGAGCATTGGAATGTTATGGGAGTTAGAACAGGGATAGGAATATTGATATTTAAATTGTGGTGGAGAAGGAGGAGAAGGGGGAGGAGGGATCTAGAAGGAAGGCAGAGGTCAGTTTGGAGGGGAGGCAGCTATCGGAATTAAAGGGTGGGAAACTACGTCTGGGCTGGAAGTCAAAGGAGTTAGGTTAACTTACTTGAAAGCAGTTGCCTTGAACGGTGGGAAGTCTGCACTAGGTTGGGAGATTTATGACTGGGGACCATTCACGTACGAACTATTTACAAGATAGTTGCTATGGCTTTGGTAAGGAGCCAATAACCGGAACTACGGCGTTTAAAGACTATCTCAGCCGTAAAGGTTTAGTAGATCTAAGATAACATTTTATACAATTTAACGGAATTATGCTACCTTTCTGTTGGGTCCGAATTGTATTACGTTTTTGGATCAATTCGTTCTGACGCCGTGCCACGGGTGACTTCGATGGAGTACTCGAAGGACCCTGGTGAATTGCGTAAGCTAGCGATCCAGGTAATGTCAACAGATTTTCGTGCGTTCCAACGGAGCCCTCAGGTGGATTAGGGGTCGACAAATGGGGTTGCTGCTAATTTGAAGGCAGACGGACGCGTTATGTGGCTTGAGTGAGTGTGCGATGTAGGATCAAGGGGAGCATCTGGCTGAGACGATGAGGATTTACAAAAGAAAAGGGAAACTTTTCTGCCCTCCATGGGGGTAAGTCCGTGACAAAGGAAAAATTTTGCACTTTCCAGGTATGCAGAAACACGATCTCAACGGGCAAATATTGAGCCGACTTCGATTTGAGAAAAAAACTTAACTAAGACAGGAGTGTTTCGCTACGGGAGGACGGGCCTTTGGTATCGGCTACTTTTTAGCTGAAGCCACATGAATATGTGAAATCAGTCTCAACATCAACTGGCGGTGCGAATCGAGGAACCTTTTTTAAACAAGAATTTGTAAGCTTGTTTTTGTCTATCACTAGATTCATTGGTATTAAGATAAACAAGTGAGTCAAGACGTTTGCATTCTTCATAGGGGATATGAAGCAGGTTCTTATTGAATAATTTTCTAGAAATTTAGAGTATGGTACCAACGTTTAGTAAAACGTCAGTGCAATTGTCAAGTGCTGCCTATCAGCTACAATTTGCGACGTAAAAGTAGTCGCACTTACTTGTCATCATTGATTTATATCTGTTTTTTGCCACTAGCCCATTGTTAATCATGTCCAGGCAGGAACCTTCCGTATTTGCCATACACTAGCAGTCTGGTCGCATCTCCCTTGCCCCTTCCTCTGCTGGATTCGGCTGAATGCAACTGATCGCACCTGGGTGTCTATCGCCTCGAAACTGGTTTTCAATTCGCCACTTTGACATGAATGGCCTCATCCGGCATGTGAATTCTCCCATGATGACTCCCGACCCGATCCTTTTGCTCAAGTGTACATACAGGCCAGTCCTGCCTGACTCGCCTACTTACCCCTCCATGAAATCCGTCACACAATGCCATATACAGTCCGGTCCTGCCTGCTTGCTTTTTATAAACTAAGGAGCGAGTTTGTTCTCCTGTAGTTCTATTCCAGTCATACTCATTTTGTTCATGTTAGAAGTTTTTTACTGCTCGCTCAGCAGTCTTCGTAACATGCTACTCGTGCAAAAACTATGAATTAAGTACTCTAATAATTCTGTATATCTCGTCTAAAATTCAAAAATTAATGTAAAAGTTATTCTTGCTTACTATGATAGGACCCCCACGGGTCATGAATAAAAATTATTATCATAGAACATGAATACATCATATTAAGAGGTATGGAGAAGAGGCTTTCCGGGAAATTGTAGAGGTGGTTAAAATGGGACGTAAATCGGAGTCGCTTTCTAATGGCGTCATGGGGCGATATAGGACCGAAGCAGCTGGTATAAAACTCAGTTAATCATTCCCTCTTGCGTCAGACCTCCTTCCAAACATGCGTGGATGGGTATTGTGTCGACAACTTCGTCAACCGAACAGTCTTCGCATTGTTCGATGATGAAATTAGTATGCATTTTAATTTCAAAGGAAGGAAAAAGAAAGAAAGCCACAATGGATGCAAACTGTACGAAAAAATGATTGGTATGTCTGTTGTAACTTGCAACTACGGTAGTCTGAGACTTTCAGTGCATAGAACACAAGCGGTGGCGCAAGGTTTTCGGACCTTAAGTCTGTCTTTACTAAGCGGTTGAAAAAGTCGCTGGATAGTTACGTCCCGAGGAACCGTAAGAGTGAACTTAGCAAACAGCCGAGTGGTAGGTCGATTGTCGTTTTTAAGAACTAATTCTGAACTGTATACAACATTCCGGGAGAGTCTTCTGGTTGCCAGCCTCCGTCGACACAGTGAACACGGAACGAATGCAACAGAAGTCTGTAAATATCTGTTTAGTTCACGTCTAGATAAAATTATTCCACATAATACGTCTTAAAAGTACCTCGTCGCATATCCCATGTTGATTACGTGGGACAAAAAATGGCCTAATTGTACTTTACGGAGTAGGGAAGGGAATAATAAAGGTAAATCAGAAGGAGTTTGGAGCAGAAATGGACATCGGCTTAGAAAACGATTTCAGGCTTACCGTATTATTCCAAAAGTTCGCCGCCTTCAAAGTTTCTTCATTAATCGATATCAGTTAGTCGGTCAGTGTATTTGAGAAAAATAGGCTTACGCCTTTCAACTCCCTATTCGTTCATGCAAAAAATCGATAAGATAAGCAGAAGTGTGAAGCGCTTACAGTATTAAGTGAAGACAGACATTGATTCACTGGTCTTATGGCTAAAACATCACATAGTCCGCTTTTTGCTGCAACATGTCTGTCAAGCCGACATTTAAATGCCTCCACAGATTGAGATATGACAATCCTCTCGGGCAGGTTAATGATAATGATAATGATAATTTTATTTAATGTCAGTATACAGGCATTGCAAAGGAAGTGTTAAACAAAAATCCGACCAGCATGAAAAAAACACCTGCGGTAAAGGAATAAAAATATAGTTGATGGCGGTTTTTATGGTTTTGAGGGTTCACGAGAAAAAACTGCTGGCGGCAGACATTCGACCGTAAAGAAGGGGGGCGCACAGTAGTGGAGATTATCAGTCGCCAATTCCATTCATGAAGTTTGGGCTGGTCTGAACAGAAGCGCCGATGAACAGCTGTCTCTGTTGGCCAACGAAATTATCCCTGGTGAGACCGGCCATAGTGGTCAGAGATCACAAACGCCATCGCTACGGTAGAGTCGATCGGTGGATTCAGCACCCAAAACTTGTGGGAACTTTTCTGAATGCAAAAATCGAGTAATAGTTCTCTTAAATAAAGGATAATTTTGCAGAGTTTTCACACTCATGGGTAGCTTATTCAAAATAGCAATTGCATTTACAGAATAGAACCGACGACATTTAACAGCACGTGCCAGAGGCAGAAATAAGAATACCTCACGATGACTGTTACGTCGTGGGGGGATATGATGTCTTAAATAGGTGAGTGGGTTAAATGTGTGATTATATAAGAGTTTAAATAGCAAAAATAGTCCCTTTTGTAATCTACGGAACCATAAAGAATCAAGGCCCGTAAGCCCGCAACGTTCTTGGTAAGACAAATGTCGGTGTTCTGGGGTTAAAATTCTCTTGGTAAAAAAGTGTTGAACGGATTCTATTTTCTTCCGCTCAGTAGCACGCATGAGGCTAAATGAAAACGAACAGTATTCCAGACCAGTTCTAACGTACATGTTGAAAAGGCGCATTCTAATGTCCCTTGTTTTAAAATTTCGGAGGATAAACCCGATCGTTCTGCGTGCTTTAGAGACTATAAAGGCACAGTGATCCGAGAGCTTGAGACTCTTGGAGTATGATATGCCCATATCCTTATTAACTCCGGGAACATTTATGGAGTGACCTTCAATATTTAGTTGAGGTTGGTGGTCGTCGCCAACCACCATGACTGAGCACTTATGCCAAGAGAGAGAAAGGCGCCATGTGCGGCACCACTGGGCGAAAGCCTGTCGATCACTCTTTAGGAGCTCAAGCACGATGTCACGATCTGCCGGCTTATGTCGATATGCAACTATAAGATCATCGGAATACATGAAAGGAGTACCATTCTGAAATAAATCGGGTACATCATTAACGAAAGGGCAAAATAAAAGCGGGCCCATTCCACTGCCCTGAATGACTCCACTCCTCACACGTGTGGGGTTGGAGATGGTATTGGAAATCTTAACGCGCTGTGTACGAGTGCCCACGCAGGAGTACATAAAAGTTTAAAGTTTGCCACCTATTCCAAAAGAGGACAATTTCAAGAGAAGAAGAGCATGGTTAACACGGTCAAAAGCCTTAGTGAAATCGAAATATACTGTGTAAAGTGCAAAACCATGGTCTCTAGATTGGAGAACATAGTCAACGAAAGATAGTTGACAGGTGTCAGAAGATCGAGCTTTGAGGAATCCATGCTGAACAGCACTCAGAAAGTTATTCACTGTTAAGTAGCGCATCATCTTATCCTTGATCAATGTCTCTAAGATCTTCGAAACTGCGGGGAGGGTGTTTATTGGCCGAAAGTCATCAAATGATGTAGATTTGCCGTGCTTAGGAAGTGGCGTATGTGTGATTCCTTCCACAGGGTAGGATAAGTTTCACTTTCAAGAGCAAGATTAAATATCTTGCATAGGAGGGATGGGAAAATCGTATTTTCATCGCCTTTTAAAATGTCTACAGGGACACCATCAGGGCCGGGACTATAAGATTGAGGAAAACGCCGAATCGCAACAGTCACATCCCACAGAGTGAAAGTTATAGTTTCTAGAACTGCCCCGGTCAATGACTGGATGGTCGGAAGCGGAGTGGTCGAGTCTTAATTATAATACCTTATAATAATTATTTTTATTGAAGACCCGTCGGGGTCCCATTAAAGCAAGGAAAAATAAATTTGCATGCAAATTTTAGGCGAGGTAGGCAAAATCTGTACAAAGTGCAATACATAATTTTTGAAGTAGTATTCCGTTAACTAAAATGATAAGCGAGGCGTGAAAAAAAATTCCACATTAAAATTTAAAAATGATTGGATTAATTTTACAGGAGACAAAAAACCCTCGAAAAAAAATATAAATAGAAAAATGCGGGAAGGCTGGCCGGCATGTGGTGGTATAGATTGGATTATAGTCGGACATCGTCAGGGCCGAAATAAATGTCAGCTGTATATGGCATTGTATAACGGATTTCGTGAAGGGGTAATTAGGCGGGTCGCTCAGGACTGGAATGTATGTGGCCTTGAATAAGACAAATAAGTGGCGAAATTGAAAACCAGTCTCGAGCTGATACCCTGCCAGCGCCAGCCGCACTTGTCCGACGCAAATATGGTGTGGCCAAGTGCGGCTATGCTGCGGCCAGGTGTTGCCAAATGGTGTGGCTGTGGTCTGGCCATCAACACATTGGCCACACTTGGCCGCATCTTGGAAAAATTTTTGTGAGCGGCCTTTTTCTAATTTTCTGCCATTTATCGCGGCCTCGATTTTTTGGCCGTAAACGCCAACCATGACGAACGGTCGCCTAACGTAAAACCCCGAAACGTGTCACAGCGAACCTCCACGTCCCGAACAAGATAGGCTACGGCGGTAAGTGGTCCACTACAGGGCAAATGCGAATACCGAATATGGTAAAGTCGGAAGGCGGTATTGTGGAAGGATGATTTATTGAATACGTAAGTTAAAAATGTAAATGTACAAAGTCTGTCTTGGATCATGGGGGTTTCAGCGACCTTCGTATCCAGGATGAGAAGTCACTTCCACTGGCCATTGGTAGTTCCCGCATAAAAAAACTTTCGTAAGACATATGTAATGCTGGCGCTGCGGAAGTAATTATACACTGTATCTAATACGTACGATTTTAATAGTAATAATCACATGAAGTAAATAGCATGCTGTGTAGGATTGGCAATTCGATAAATTTGCTTACCGGTTCTTTGGTGGGGGATAATTGTGGGCATGTGGCGGCAGGTATGGTGATTTCTGTAGTCTAAATAAATATGGATGAAAATCCCGAAAGTTTTTACCTGACGAATGTTCCGCCGACGTGTCGATCTTCCTCCGTACCGGTCCTGTGATCCATGAAACCACCTGACTGCTGTCTATCGAAATATCTTCATAGTGCAGTTGCCAAAACGGGGATGTTGGGCAGTGGCATCTGCGCGTGAAAATAAACAAAAATTGGACTTACCTTTAAGGACAGAAAAAAGTGGACAGGCCATGAAGGACTTCTTCTCCTTGGATCCACCCGACCAACAGAAGTTGTGGCATAAGGGCGGGCCCAATAGAACCGTCAGAAGGTTTCTGAGGAAGTCTGCCTCATTTCGACCACCTACCATGGCCAGTTGCCGGATCTGAAAACAGTCAAGTAGATGTGCACATACCGCCTCGTTTGCAAAACCGTCTTCTACGCTGAGCCGACGAAGAAGGTTTTCGTATGCCTCCTCGGTACACAGCGGTAAATTAAGGGAGGAGGATGTGACAGAACCGGCGCTGGAGGCTCTCTGCAATGCACTGACAACATCTGATAGTGTTGCCTGCATCTGCTGCACACTGCTATGAAGAGCCATAAGTTGCTCAGCTAGGAAATCGTTCCTTTTCCTAATAGTTTGTTAGGGAGATTGTCCACAGTCTTACTCAAGTGCTGCTAGCCGGACATTTGTGTTTATTAACTGACCTTTTATGTCAGCCATGTCCTTTTGCACCTGTTGGCTAAATTCCGTCGAAATTGTAGCCGTGGAAACATATGACGAAATTGTCGTGGATTGTCTAAAGTAATAAATGATAAGCGTTGTCTACTCAAGTGAGGACAGTGGTGTTGACCGACTGGGTCAAATCTACGCAGTGGAAAACAAGTGTGGCACATTCTCCTCCGTTCTTGGCCTACGAAATGTCTATAATAGTCATACTTACTGTAGTATTGGCGGTAGAGCTGGCCAACCAGTTGGCTCTTTCGGTTGGTTTGGCGAGTCCTCTTCGTCGGAGTCTGGAGTTAGTTTGCGATTATGTCTGCAAAGGAAAATTCGTTGTATATAACATGGTAGCACACCTGATCCTCTTGGCCCTACCCAACTGGCGCGGCTCGGAACTGGAGAGATTGTCAGTATTCTGTGCTCTCCGCGCCGCCTGTCGAGCTTTTTCCAGCGTTAGGCCACTTTTTAGTACCTTGACGGCGTACGCCTTGGTACCATCCGGTGGCCGCTGGTTATTCTCCAGCAAAATGCTGCGCTGTCTGTGCTTTTTAGGCCATAGTACTCTGCCCGCGTTGTTGAACCAGGCTTCAGCCATTTCCGCCACAGATTTGTCGTTGAAAAATTGCACCACGGAATACATCTGTAGCAAATGTTACATTGTAAGTCGTAAAATGCAGAAATACGTCTGTAAAAAAGCAGACAGTGGAATATAAATCACGGGAATGTAGTTGTGTGAAGGAGGGGGATAAGGTAATACTAGTTTTTGTTTTTAAAGGACACGTACTTGCAAATAATGTCGGAGAGTAAGCCAGTTATCGGACTGTCTGATAAAACGGTGGCTTTAAAAATGTATAAAGAAGAAGAATGAAGGGTTGTTACACAAAGATCCTGATAGTCGCGGAAAGGGCAGTAAACTATGTGGTTATCCGACAGTGATGTCAGTGCACAGGGTCTATGTCCGATGAGTACGACATTTTCGGGTGGTTCAGTGGAAAGGACATATCCCTTGTGAAAGATAGCCGTTGATTGACGGGGCAGTTTAAAGCGCCGTTGCACTCCCTCATCGTCGTCCAACAGCATAGGACGTGTAGACTGTTCAGACAAGCGTCTTTCCGAAAAACGCCTGTACACTTGTGCGGCTATATTAGTGGGCCCTTTTATGCTACCACGAACGTGTCGTAAAAAAGACTCAAATGGAAATGCTGAAAAATTAATCAGCACCCTAAACCGAACGACGTCAGCGTGCAAGTGGAGTAGAGAACGGACATTGTAAACAAGATCAGATGGCTTATAAAATGTGGAAAAATTATAGACAAAATTACGCAAAAGTTGGCGGCCATAATCACCACAAGATATATGTAAGGTTGGGTGGCAAAATATGTACACTGCCACGGAAACCTGTAAAAAAATGATTTTAACGGTGTCCGTCTAAATACGGAGACAAAACAACGGGGCCTATATGAAGGAGGAATTGCCGATATTCGACAGCCTTCCAAAACTCCAGGAAGTCAAGTGTTCTGCACTTGCGTCAAAACTCTGTCGGTAAACAGTGGCTGCATAGCTTAATAGATGCGTTTAATGACACAGAGTTGCCAACAAAACCAAGACACCAAGTATGCAACAATTATCGCCTAACACCGAGGCAGACTTGGTGCATGTAGTCAATTGGGAAACAGGAAACCATGTCGATGGGCAAATACTCGAAGGGAGATCTGCCCTTATGATGCGGTCCCTGACTTCGCAACCTAAACGACCTGTCATCACGCAGACGGCCACTGTACTGCGGAAATGTCATGCGATTCGCAATATGTTTCCCTTTGTGACAGCATCTACAGCAGTTACGATTGCAATTACAAAATAGCGTACCTGTCGCATCCATAGTAGCCATTGTGGGCCTTCACTTGTCGTACATAACAGCGGGCTGGGTTGTCGCAAATCACATTGAGTAAATGCACTTTGATGACACTTTCTGTACGTGGATCGCGCAGGCCCGTGGTGAGAAGGCCCTTCAGTTCACTAACACAATCACCCAGAAAGTCTTCCAACGGTTCGGGCTTACCAAAACCACAGAACACTCCAACGACAAAGGGCTGCCCAACAACGGGCTGGTTAACACGAGCAAGGATCGGCCACAAGCACTGAGCAAACGCTTTAAAGACTTTCATTCCGTCAATGTGCAGTTGAACTTGCACTTCAGAAATGCCTGTTAGTGGGCAAAGGTGCAATTCGTCGAGTAGGCCGCGTTCGAGACCCAGGTGAACGTATTTTCCTCTCTTCAGGGACTTGCTAACGCAAGTTCGAGGCCTCTGCAGTAGCGTCCTTGGGTCGATGGGTAGCACCGAATGATAGTGCCGCAGCACCTGAAACAAATCCTTTGCTGTGGTTAACGACAATTTCGCCCTCAAACAGAATTCGCGCAAATCTGTCGTCAAGCATTTGCCTTCCACTGTGTCCACGGTCCCAGCCACTACAGGCAGTTCTATGTATTCCAGTAAATAAGGCACATACAACTCCTACCCGTTGAAACTCCCGGCATTAGTTCGAGCATTTGCAATTCCGGCGACTCATTTGCAACCAAAGACGTTGATGCGATGGGTTGCTCCTCCATAGCAGCATAATATGCCCGCCTCTGGCGCCAGAGCCGCTTGTATATAGTGTTTCGGTGAAAGCCGTAATACTTACGCTTCATAGCAACGATTAACTACTCAACGACAACAAATATTTGTACTTTCAACATTGTTCGCAAAATCATAAGTGAAATTAGACTAATACATATGTAACTACACCTTAATAAGCATAACGAATACCCTTAATGGCATAACTTGGAAAATAAAGAACTATCAGACACAAAATGGACGCCGAATTACTTGTTAGTTTGTCATAAACAATCACAGGACGAGAGAACCGCAACGCTTACCCCAGACACAGCAAAATCAATGGCGTCGCATTGGCCCACTTAAACAATGCACCTTAATCAGCTTATTTCGAGACATAACCACTGCTCACAATATGAAGATTCCTGGTACTTTATGAGTGATATAGGATATATCTTGACTAATTTAGCGCTTTGCAATGCAGAAGTGGTCACCTACACGATTGGGAGGTATTCCAAAATTTCTTCAAATTAGGCGTGGCCATGGCCGCGCTTGGCCACACCTGGCCACATCTACAAGGTGTGGCCAGGTGTTGGCAGGGTAGGAACCCAGATGCTGTCGGTTACATTCATCCGAGTCCATCCGAGGATGGGGTAAGGGAGATGCGACCAGACTACTAGTATATGGCGAATACAGAAGGCTTCGCCAAGAGCGTCGATGGAGCGCATTCTGTGAGGGCACGATGCATGAACTGAAAAATTGGACAAATAAACCTTTCTGGTGAGGGATGTTAGGAAGCGAGACTACTCACGAAGGAGGGAAATGTGCACAGATACGGAAAGTTAACGGCGGCATACAAAATTCCCGGTGGCCTTTTCTCTGTGTCATAGAAAAAGTTGTCTGGGAAGGATGAGGAAAATAATAGTTTAATCGACACAGTATTCAGATAAAGGCGTAACCTCCTCTTTGATGTGTGTAGATTTTCTAAAGATCGTATATTTATTGGAAGGCTATTCCAGAGGAAAGTATATCTGGAAGCGAAAAATGGAGCACTTATAGTCAGAGGACGCTGGAGGAGGTATAATCAAGGACGAGTTGCGAAGATTGTATGGGCGGCCACTAGGGGTGAGTGCTGAAATCCGAGGAAGATTTGAACTATGATTAATGCGATAGAGGAGACAGAAGCCCGCTTTAGTCTTCGAACCCATAAAAATTTTAGGTTACTTAGCTGGCATCTATCTGAGTAGGAGATATTGGGATATCCCTTATCTAAAAGGTTTTTAGAAAAACGTCTATGGACATTTTCAATTTTTAAACGACTAGCTTCATTCATCAACCCAAAGAATGGGCAACAATACTCGAGAATGGGAAGTACAAACATACGATAGAGCCTTAATTTAATTTCAAGAAGATAGAAATTGTAAGAAATAAAGCCACAAATCTAGGCAGCTTTAGTTGCAATTCTGTCAGCGTGTGGCGAGAGATCGAGATTACTGATGTAGCTTAAACATAAATCCTTGATGGTGGTACATTCAGTCATAGGTGTGCCTTGAAGGACCACTGGTTGGGGTAGTCTGTCAGGTCCAGAACACATATAGCGACGTTTAGACGGGGAGAACTCCAATAGCCATTTTGAGCTCCAAGCTGAGAGAGCAAGCAAGTCAGCATGGATTTGCTCCAGGCAATGAAGGCTCGTAGATTTTTTGAAAGAATATACACATTTGGATCATCGGCATAAATAAATGTTTGAGAATGCTTAACTGCTGCCGAAATATCATTTATGTAAAGTAAGAACAAAAGAGTACCTAAAACGGTACCTTGTGGGACACCACTTACAATAGGGCTTTCACTGAAAAGCGAAGATCCCACCAGAACATTTTGTTTACGATTAGACAGGTATGGTCTGAGAAAGTCATTTAGTGGACTGCAACTTCCCTTAGCTTCCAATTTTACCAAGACTCTTTTATGCGGTACTTTATCAAAGGCTTTTCTAAGATCAAAATAAATAACGACAACAGATAGATGGTCATGACGAAGAGAGGTAAGTAGATTGAAAAACGACAGATGACATATTTCACAAGAGCGATCTGGTAAAAAACCATGCTGGGAAGGGCTAATAACTTGATTATTTATGCAAAAGTCGGTAATTTTCATGGCGATAATTTTTTCCAAGAACGTTTTCAGTGAACGTTTTGGACAGGGAATCATTGAAGATATCAGCGGTTAACTGTAAATCAACTATGGGATTTCCGAGAGCGTCTCGGAGGATGGGATGCTGCGCTTTTCGGTGAGTTCGCATTTTTCTAGAGAAAAGTTTCGAGACACTTGACGAATGGTTTTCGGTAAATCGGATCTCCTCGGCCAGCTGTTTTTCTTCAGACAATCTCTTAGCCCGCTCAAAAATATCACGGATCAAGGGCAGGGCAGAAATGTCGTTCTGGAGATGGAATCGACGATAAAGTCTACGCAATCTGCGACGAAAGGGTCAGGGTAGTAAAACCTCATCCCCAAGATTAATAATTTTCTTACGGGGGACACAACGAGAAATAAGCGAATCCAAAATTTCGTACAGTTTTGCAGCGCAAACATTTACATCCGAACTAAGGAAGAAATCAGTCCAGTCGTAGGAATTAAGATGTGTTAATAATTCGGTTGAGTGTGTTGATCAGTTATTTATTGTTATTATTATTTTTATTTTTATTAAAGACCCGTCGGGGTCCCATAAAAGCAAGTAAAAATAAATTTACATGCAAATTTTAGACGATGTAGGCAAAATCTGCACAAAGTGCAATGCATAGTTTTTGAGATTAGAAGTCCGTTAAGCAAAATGAAAATGAAAAAAAACGAGGGGTGAAAAAAAACTCCAAAGCAAAATTTAAAAATGAGTGTAGTAATTTAACAGGAGAAAAAAAACCCTCAGAAAAATAGCATCAGAAAAAAAGGGAGGACTGGCCTGCATGTGGCGGTAGAAAATAGAATAAAGCCCGACATCAACATGGCCAAAATAGATGTCAGCTGTATATGGCATTGTGTAACGGATTTCATA